TTAAAAATATTTTAACAAGAGAGGATAAACAGAGAAGGAAAATGGGAAAGAAGGAAATATTTTTTTATGATAGTTTTCAGTATAGAGTGGTTTCCCGCAAAGGCATGAATGAAAATATAAACTTAATGAAATCATGTAAAATATTCATGAAATTAATTATATTTTATTTATAATATTCCCAATGTAGAGTGTTGTTTAATTTATCCATCTTGAGCAAATAGCATTATTTAGAAAGAGAAAAAGAAGTTTGGATTTTATCCAAACTGTCAGGGACTTTGTTTTTTTTTTTTGTATTTTTTTTTTTACAGATTTATTTATGCATGCAAGAGCTGGGGTACTGGCCAGAGGTGTGGGGGGTGAGAGGACTCACCACAGACAGAGTGGGAAACAGAACAGGCAGACTGACCAAAATATACTGCTGAGGGGAGCAGTGGGTGAGTCAGGAGAGGTCTGCTGCACCATGCGTGTAGCTCCCTAGATGGGCATGAAACTCATGCTACAGTGGCTGCGGATAGATTCATAGGTTGTGTCTTAACCCCCTGTACCACCAGGGAGGCCCGTGGGTGGGTGGGGGTTGCTTTAGATGAATTTTTAAGATCAAATTTGGTTTTAAGCTGCAAGTAAAACATTATGGGTTAAAAAAGTCCCCATTGTCACAGCAGACCTCTCCTGCTGTGCCTGCTGCTCCCCTCAGCAGTGTTTTTCTTCAGTCTGCCTGTTCTGTTACCCGCTCTGTCTCTGGTGAATCCTCTCATCCTCCCCCGCATCTGGCCTGTACCCCGGTTCTTGTATAAAAATAAATAAATCTTTTTTTAAAAAAAGTCCCCATTGTGTATTCTGTTAAACATAAATCCTCTCATATGCACTTGTATCTATTTTAGGGAGTAGTGAGCATGACCCAAGTAGAAGAGAATAATGGCAGATTCAGTACTGACAGGTTAAAAGAAAGACTTAAGATGGGAAATATTCTCTAGAACTGTGATTTGTTGGTGACATATAAGCTATAAAGATCAGTGTAATGAAATCATAGAAACAACTCCAAGGACATTATTTTTTTTTTCTTTTATTGCCAAATATTCCTGGGACTTTGTGTGTGTGTGTGTGTGTGCCATATTCAGTCTCACACAAAGTATTGTTTGTTTAATATTCGATTACATTTATTTAGTATTCAGTAATGTTGAGCCTTTTTCCAAGCTCAATATTAAGCAATCATAATTTTATACTAGTAGATTTGGTGAATCACTTTTTTTCCTAAAATTTAAAATAAACCCATAATATTTTGTTATATAAACTTCAAACTCATACACTTAAAGTATAAAGTAAATGTTCATTTGTAGAGCACCAAAATTTTATTTCATATTTCATTTGCCACTTTGAAAATATTTTCAATTCTACTAGGCAATAAATACACATTGGAATTTTAAAACATAACATTAGATTTTTCAGAATCTCTATGCCATATGTATCTAGTCAATCACAATTATCTGTGTGTTCTTATAGAAATTAATTGAAATTTTATTTATAATTTTGTCAAAAAGGCAAACTTTTCCCCTATCTTCTTATGTTTCAGTTTTGGGACTTATAAATTAAATTGATAAAAGGTAGATTAATAGAAGAAAAGGTAGTGTTTTCATAAGTATATGTAAGCAAACAAAAGAAGTATTTCCTTAAATAGGAAATTAACAGGGATTAGTTATCAAACTGGAGAAGAAAGAAGAGGACTTCTATGGGAGGAACAAATGGGTTTCTAGCTAGAACAAACAGAAGAAGAGCAAGTTTGTGGTAATATTTTTCTGTGCAGATTCTTTTTTTTTCCCCCATGGCTTTAAAACTTTCCTCAGAGAGGAAATTCATGGCTACCTTACTTCTAGAAATTTCAGGCCTTAGTGAGATTAGGGAAGATCCATGATGGTTTCTCTCTGTATATATTAATTCTTTAATACTTCACCATAATCTTTATATCAACTTTGAGCTTTCAGGTGTGTCACCATACTTTGAAAATTTAAACCACCCCCCCAAATTATACCACAGTCTATCTTATGATGTATCTCTACATCAAAGAATATGAGTCACATTGCTGTTACAGTCCAGAAAAGTTGCACTTGCAAAATTTCATCAACAGAGTTGCTTTTTTTTTTTAACTCATACCTTATAACATTTATGACCATTTTGATCAACCATATATAGGAAAGATCAACTAGAGTGCAATATTGCACAAAGCTTAAGAAAGAGAGATATTACAGGGATAGGGAAATTGGGTATATTGAGTAAAAGGGCTCAACCATATGGTAAAGGATGGAATTGGACTGGTAGTGGTAAACTTAATGTAATATCTAAGCATGTTGACTTTTAATGATATGTCCTTGAAGCCTATATAATATTATAATGCAATATTACTCCAATTAAAAAAGAGAAACATTTTTAATTGTTAAACATATTAATGCTTAATAAATGTCATTATAGAAAAACATTGAAAAGCAAGTTAAAATAAGATGTCAAACTATTACTATAATAATATTATTTTTAAAAAATTCATGAGTTAAGTTCACTTATAAATTTTTTTTTAACATCAAGAGTCCTTGCAATGATGTTTTTCTTTTTTTTTAAATAATAAATTTTATTTTTATATTCCCCATACAATTGCAGCCCCCCCAACTTATAAATTTTTTAAAGATTGATTTTTATTTTTTTATGCATACAAGAGCTGTATAGGCCAGTGTGGGGGGAGCAGTGAGAGGATTCACCAGAGACAGAGTGGGGAGCAGAACAGGCAGATCCACTGGAATACACTGCTGAGGGGAGTAGTGGGTTAGGCAAGAGACATCTGCTGCACCATCTGGGTTAGCTCCCTGGTTTGGGATTGAACTCATGCCACAGTGGCTGGTGATAGCTTGATAGCACTGAGACTTTAACCCATGTGCCACCAAGGAGGCCCAACAAAGCATAAAATTAACCATTCTATATGAACAACTCAGTGGCATTTCACATATTTATATTGTTATTCAAACACTGCTTCTGTTTCCCTCCTTTTTCCATAAAGAGACATTAGAACCCTTAAACATGTGTTCCTTAAACCTACTATTGCAACACTTTGGAACCACCAATTTATGCACTGTCTCTATTGATTTACCAATTCAGTATATTTCATGTAAATGGAATCATAGATTTTGTGACCTTTTATTTGTTTATTTGCTTGACTTGCTTCATCTAGCATGTTTTTATCCATGTCATAATATTTATCAGCATTTCATTTTGTTTCGCGGCTAAATTGTATGTTGTTTTATACACACATACACCCCCCCAAATATTCTTTATTGATTGGTGAATTATTGGATTATTTCTAACTTGAATATAGATAGTGCTTTTTTTTTAAATTTATTTATTTATTTATACAAGAACTGGGGTACAGGCCAGATTCGCAGGAGGGTGAGAGGATTCACCAGAGACAGAGCGGGGAACAGAACAGGCAGACGAAATGCACTGCAGAGAGGAGCAGCAGGCACAGCAGGAGAGTTCTTCCGTGCCATGTGGGACTCTCGCCCGCCAGCCGCCTGGGGTTTTACCCGTGCTGCAGAAGCTGTGGACAGCTTCAAAGCGCTGCACTGCGCTCAACCACCTGCACCACCAGGGGAGGTCCCTGATGGTGCTTTTTGAACACACATCTAAGTATAATGACTTTTTGGGTGCTGCATAGAATAGAATTGTAAGGAAATAGAAAATCAAAATAATTCTTCAAGATAGCTAAATACTATGAAAGTAAAGACATTTCCAGATTCTGTCATCATGAATGACAAAATGCCACCACTATCTTCATAGTGAATCTTCTGGATGAAGATGACTTCAATGTTGAACTCAATGGGTTCAATGTTTATTCTTTGTATCCTTTGACAAGCACTTTTTAGATAAATGTGATAGATCAGTATAAATTACTAATGAAATAATTATCACACCTTAGTATGGACTGACCATAGTAATTTCCTTCCAAAGAAATGGGAAGGGAAAAGTAAAGAGTAAACTTTACAGTGATGAAAACTGACAAGCACACCCTCATTCTGGTAATCAAAGTTAACTTAAATATTATGTTAATGACACACACATATCGTATGTCTATAAATACACACACATACACACACATATATACACACATATATACACACACATATATATACACACACATATATGCACACATATACACACACACATATATATATTTACTGATAAATATGATAAAACAACATTTTACCTCTGTAGTTTTCCTGTCGAAATCAGATAACCCCAGTAAAAATATCAGAATCACTTTGGTGCACCCCTACCTTCCGCAGTGTTGTAGGCCAATTATATCTCAAACTAGAAAAACAAAGAATAAACAACAAAAACTGTATTCTTGCCAGTATATATTCTAGTGAAAAAAAGGGAAGTTGAACCTACGTTTCATGTAACTGCTAAAAGCACACTTTTCTCTGAAATTGCAATTTCTTTCAAAGTAGTTATTATAGGGCAAACTGGGTAAGGAATAGAGGTGGACTCTATTATAGTCCCAGTCTTTCTATAAATTAAAATAATTATAAAAATTATCTTTCAAATCTCGAGTTTACAGCTACAGATCATTAATAGCTAGGTGTTTTCTTCCTCCTCCTTATTCTCATTTTATAATTAAAGTTTTGTTTTATTCCAGAAAAGCTTTCCCAGTGATTTAAGTTAATGTTAATTTTTTTTCTCTTCATAATATGCATCAAAAAACTCAATGAAGTAGATTTCTAAGGATGGAATAAGCACATAACAAAATCTGTTAGTTGAAGGCTGGACCTATAAATGTACAGATAGCTACTGTAATATATTTTTCAAGAAACTGGGAATTAAATACAAGTGGATTTTACTATATATCTAACCTCATTATTTCATACAGTTCATTTAAGCAGGTTACTTTTGAATCATTTTAAAAGAAAAGATTGCCTCCAAATATCAACAAACCATTCTTTCGTTTAAATTTTCTTTCTCAGGACCGTGCACAAAATCTGAATGAACGGCGGACTACCACCACCACACTCACAGTGGACATTCTGGATGGAGATGACTTAGGTCCAATGTTTCTTCCTTGTGTCCTCGTGCCAAACACTCGTGATTGTCGGCCACTCACTTATCAAGCTGCCATACCTGAATTAAGAACTCCGGTAAATATATTTCTTTTTTTCCCTTTCCTTACACCTCTTCAGCACAATGAAATCCTGTTCAAGTGTTTTGCAGACATATTAGGTAAGATTACGAAAATTCAGTCTGGGTGATTAACAAGCCATTTTAGAGAATATGGGTAAATTTTGGGTCTTGATGCATAATTACAAAATAGAAAGTATTTCATGAAACAACTATCCATTTGACATTGAATATTATTTATTTTTTTTAATTCATAGTCCATGCATCATAACAGATTTCAGTTGTCAAAATATTCTAGGTCATTCCAAAGGGGAATGCCTCCAGTATTTTCTAAAATTCTCATCTAAACATGCAGTTCTAATTCAGAGGGAACACAGCAACAGGATACTCTTTATCTTTTAAATTTCTGAAATATTACTGAAAATTATAACTAGCTGATTGTGGATGGGAGTTGATGAGTTCTTAATATAATATGTGTTCCCTATAGATGCATTTTAAAGAAACTGAAAGGTGAGGCATGAGTTGATATTTTCTTTTTTTTTTTTTAAAGATTTATTTATTTATTTATATAAGCACTGGGTACAGTCAGAAGCATGGGAGGGTGAGAGAATTCACCAGAGCCAGAGCGGGGAGCAGAGCAGGCAGAAGGACTGAAGTACACTGCTGAGGGGAGCTGTGGGCGGCAGGAAAGGTCTGCGTGCCATGCAGGACCCTCCTCCAGTGGCCGGGGAGCAGCTGGGGATCGAACCGGCGCTGCAGAGGCTGCGGGCAGCTTCACACCCCAGCGTTCAACCGCTGCACCACTGGGGAGGCCCATGAGTTGATATTTTCAACACTAGAAAATGCATTTTTTAATTTTTTTAAAGATTATCTATCTATCTATCTATCTATCTATCTATCTATCTATCTATCTATCTATCTATCTATCTATCTATCTATTTATGCAAGCATTGGGTATAGTCAGAAGCTCAGGAGGGTGAGGGAATTCACCAGAGCGGGGAGCAGAACAGGCAGACTGACAAAATACACTGCTGAGGGGAGCAGCGGGGCACGGCAGGAGAGGTCTGCCATGCCATGTGGGATCCTCGCCTGCTGTCCGGGATTGAGCCAGTGCTGAAGAGGCTGCGGACAGCTTCACAGCATGGCATTCAACCACTGTACCACCAGGGAGGCCCAAAATGCATCTTTTTAAAAATTCTAATAGAGCTATAAATTGTTGTCAACTTGGAATTCAAGCCTTAGACCTCTATAGATTATAGGTATTCATACATAAGAATGAAAAACTGTAAGGCAAATGGTTTTCCTGCTGAGGTTCATATATCAACTTTCCCCTATATTACAGAGAATGAAATTCCCAGGAGTCAGCTAATTGGCTAATGTCTTTGCCATCCCTCTGGAAAACTTTCAGCTTTCTCAGTTGGTAACATAACTTGTCAGAATTTGTTTGATGGCATTTGAATTTTTTTCTCAAACATGTGAGAAGTATAGTTTTGGAGAGCCTCTCTGTTTATGAGACTTGAAAATAAAGCAGATTTTTTTCCTCAAATGCAGCTTATATTTTTTTTTAACTTTGGAGATTTCTTAACTGATATTATAATACATTTATGGGTTGTATTCACAGCAAATCTTTAACAGCTGAGAATCACTTTTATCTCTATTGGCAAAACTATTACTTGTCTACTTGGTTTGCATAAACAATAAAAACTGGAGGAAAAAAAGATAAATCTTATGGTATGCATTAAAGAAAGAAAATAATACAAATTTTCAGCTAAATTTAATGTTGTAGATAAATAAGCTAATGTAGAACATTTCTCATCAGACTGTTGTAGATTACCTAAAATTGTATGTTATGATATTATTTTTGTTGAATACTAGTTAGAAAACTTTTAATGATGGTGAGCATTAAACTTGAGGAAAAGGCAGCTATTTTTTTTTATTTTTTCGAGTCAGCTTATATAGCTAAAGTATCAGTGTGATATCAAGAGAAGCGACTTAGGGTAAAATACTGAATCTATGAATCAGTCCAATGAGTATTTAGTAGTATTTAACATATGGAGGGAAATAAAGGAAGATAGAGATTGCAGCTTGAGAAGCAGTGTGTGTTGACCTTATAAAGGAACATTGGGTATTCTTTCCTCGCTTCCATAATAGACTGAACATCTATCTTATTCCTATGCAGTTTCTTGCTAGGGCTATTTTCTTTTATTGGTTCATATAGCTGAAGTATCAGTGAGATACCAACAGAAGTGACTTACTGATAAAACAATGGCTAAATTAAATGAATCAGTCCAATGACTGTATAATGTATTGAGGAAAATAAAGGAAATCAGAGATTTTAACATAATCCAAAATCAGGACAGTGATATAAATACAAATAATGATTAATGGTTATATAAAATGCCCAGTATGTCATGAACTGTGTGAAGTCTACAAAAATATTAACTGAAACTCTTTTCCTCTGTTAGTATTATCTTCATTTTACAAATAAGCCCTCTCAGATACTGTGTTTAAGTAATTTTTCCATGGCAATGTAGCTAATAGGTAAAACATATTTTCTTTTAAAACCATGTATCTTATCACTTATTATCAGGGAAATGCAAATCAAAACAACAGTGATACCATCTCACATCTGTGAGAATTGTCCATATTAAAAAAAAAATTTAAAAAAAAGAGCTGGGGAAGGTGTGGGGGGAGAAAGGAACTCTATTACACCACTGGTGAGAATGTACACTGATCCAGCTCCTGTGGAAAGATGTATGGTGATTCCTCAAAAGACTAAAAATGGATTTATCATGTGGCCCAGAAATTCTACTTCTAGGTATCTATCCAAAGAGCACAAAAACACTAATTCAAGAGGAAACGTGCACTTCTATGTTGATAGCAACACTATACTATGTACAATAAACAAGAAACAACCTAAATGCCCCAGAACAGATGTGTGGATTAAGAAGTGGTATGTGCGTGCACACACATACACCCACCACCCACCCCACCCCGCTCCCAGGGATCTGAAAGGATAAACTCATGCCATTTTCGGTGATGTGGATGGAAATGGGATTATTCTAACCAAATTGAGCTAGAAGAAGGAAAATAAATACCAGATGTTTTCATTTATATGCAATCTAGAGAATACATGCAAAGTATCAGATGAAGACAAACTGTAAGACTCACACTTGAAAGCAGACCATAGATCTGAGACCCTCAGAAGGGGAAGAGGGGGAAAGTAAAGGGGGAAGTTGAGGATGGTGGAGTGTGGTAGAAAATTGTGGACACTTTGTTGCTGGGAAAACTATGGTGATGATACCTATGGGAAGAAATCCTATATTGTGAAAGAAGGTACATGGATGTTTAAAAAGAAAATAAAATCATGTATCTTAGGTAAATGTTATAATAGTCCAGGATGAGAAAATTCTATACTTCATTATCATACTTAAGATTGACTAATTCTTTAACATTCTGTGAAATAAAGAAATTTAGATTTTACATTTATATATCTATTGCAGATATTTTTCATTAATGCATATATTTGTATTGCTATGTAGAAAAAATGTTCATTTACAAAATTAAGCATTTGTTATGATTAAACAATGTATAACAAAACATCAAAATCTTCAAACTATGATCTTTAAATTTGCTCATAAAACCGCAAATATGCTAAACTTGAGGGAATGTCTATCAGGTCACACAACATCAATGTGGGCACCTTGACTGAGGTGTTAGGTCTACTTTTAGGATGTTTATCTTAGCAATTTGACTTTAGCTATTGACTTGAACTCCACAGAAGCTGAGCTAGAGTCTCCATTTTATTCTATTTGGTCCTCACAGCAGGGTGCTGCTTTCTAAGAACAAGCTTTCCAAGAGACATAGCAGACAGTTTATGAACTAGCCTTGCAGTTTACAGTGTCTCTTCTGCTATTGTCAGACCTATGCCAAATTCAAGGGATCAAACACATTCCATCTCCAAGTCATATTATAAAAAAAAAAAATATGTGGAATGAAATAGTATTTTAGCACTCTTTGGAATATAAAATTCAGCCATTACATGAACATTAGATTCCCATGTGGTCTTTTAAATGCCATTTTGGAACATTTCTGCATCATTAGAGTTAAGAACAAGACTTTGTTTTTGAGTTTCACTTTCATATTGCTGTGCTTTTGCCTGTCCTTTCATCATTATAATTTTTCTTTTACTATTTTCCTTTACATATTTGTGCTAAAATAGTTGAAAAATTTCAATAGTAAGATCTAACTATTCAGAGCAAGAAAACTAACCATTTGTGTCAACTGAACAGAACATGATGACTCTAATTATATACTTGCAGATCCTTTCCTGGACTAATTCTTCACATTTTGAAAATTTGACACCTGTTCACCTTTTTTGTTGATGTGAAATTTTTCTACCAATTATCTCAGTGGTGTTCTTGACTTGAGAAACTGTTCTTAGTACCACTACAATGCATGCAGAATTTATCAACTCAAAAATATGTAAAAGGTAGTCAAGTACAATTTTCATCTCATGAATATAATAAAGATATAAAATAAATATAAAATATAATATATATCATATTTAATATAATACAAACACTATAATATAAATTTGAATATAATAAAATAAAAATGTACTTTCTGTTGAAATGCATATCATTTCTTTAATGATAAACTTAATAAATAGTTTATGTGTTTTCTACTACAGAATACATTTTCAGCAAAAGTTAATGTCTTCATAAACACTAATGATATTATGTTAAATGTGTAAACATATAAATCCAGTATGGTAGACCTAAATAGTTATTCACTCAGGACCACAGTTTATAGTCCTATATTATTATTTATTTATTTTGTAAATGTCTACTAAGCACTAATATATGCAGAACTCTGTATTAGTTGAGGAAATGACAACTGGGATATGACAAAAATCTTTTTAAAATATTATGTAAATTAGTTCTCACTTATGGCTCTCTTAAAGTTGTTATTACACTGTCTAGTTATAGTTTTTGATATTATGGAAGAAATTCTGTGG